TTCTTTAAAAAATCCACGCCTTATGGATGGTCCTTTTCAAAAATATTCTTTAAAAAATCCACGCCTTATGGATGGTTCTTGAAAAAATATTCTTTAAAAAATCCACGCCTTATTGATGATCCTTTTCAAAAATATTCTTTAAAAAATCCACGCCTTATGGATGGTCCTTTTCAAAAATATTCTTTAAAAATCCACGCCTTATGGATGGTCCTTGAAAAAATATTCTTTAAAAAATCCACGCCTTATGGATGGTCCTTGAAAAAATATTCTTTAAAAAATCCACGCCTTATGGATGGTCCTTGAAAAAATATTCTTTAAAAAATCCACGCCTTATGGATGGTCCTTGAAAAAATATTCTTTAAAAAATTCACGCCTAATGGATTGTACTTAAAAAAATATTCCTTAAAAAATCCACGCCTTATGGATGGTCCTTGAAAAAATATTCTTTAAAAAATCCACGCCTTATGGATGGTTCTTGAAAAAATATTCTTTAAAAAATCCACGCCTTATGGATGGTTCTTGAAAAAATATTCTTTAAAAAATCCACGCCTTATGGATGATCCTTTTCTAAAATATCCTTTAAAAAATTCACGCCTTATTGATGGTCCTTTTCTAAAATATTCTTTAAAAAATCCACGCCTTATGGATGGTCCTTTTCAAAAATATTCTTTAAAAAATCCGCGCCTTATGGATGGTTCTTGAAAAAATATTCTTTAAAAAATCCGCGCCTTATGGATGGTTCTTGAAAAAATATTCTTTAAAAAATCCACGCCTTATTGATGATCCTTTTCAAAAATATTCTTTAAAAAATCCACGCCTTATGGATGGTCCTTTTCAAAAATATTCTTTAAAAATCCACGCCTTATGGATGGTCCGTAAAAAAAATATTATTTTAATATGGCTTTAATAGTCCTTTTTAGATGTTTTACAAATTCGGCCACCATACCCAATATTACTTGCTGACATTTACTGTAAATATTGTTATTTATTTTTAATTTATTTCAAAAACAGTATCGTACACCAGTGAGAGCACTACAAAAATATAATTATCGACTACTTTGTAACCTAAATATTGCTGTGTCTGCATTACACATGATATTACCAGTTTCAATTTGTCAAAATCCACTTAAAATAAATATGTTTAAATATTGGAAAATATTTACATAATTCGAATGGCATTCATAGGTCGGGGTCTATGTGATAACATGTAAACTGAAAATTACCGTAGGTAAAAATAATTACTAATGCAGATTTGCATTTTGGCAAATAATTTTGGTTTTTAAATATTGTGAGTGTGTGTTTGTGCGTGCATGTGAATAAATTATTGAACGATGACGTGAATCGCTTATGTTCAAAATATGATAACAAAATTTTGGAATTAGGATGAGGATAGTAATATAACATAATATTATAATTGTTAATTTTTAAAAATAAAAATTAAATAATATTTTTTAAGGACTGTCATAGGCGTGGGTTTAAAAAAATATATTTATGCAATTTTAAAATTTACCCAAAATCTCAATATCCAGAATTCGGTGACCCATTTCCTTGATATCCAAAGTAACATTGATATCTCCAGTCTTTAACCACTTGACTACTAAACGTTTATACAATACTTTTCAAGTGTACATAAACATTACAACAATGGCAATGTTGTAGAATAGAATACAAGCCAAACACACATACACATCAAATATACATACACACAGACAAACTAAATTAACCATAGTCAAATGGTGCACAACAATAGTAAAATGTTACACTTCGCCCAACATTGAATTTCTCTAAAAGTCGCCTCTTTAATTAGAGGGAAAGGACATGTGGCATAGAGGAAGAGGCCGAATGATAGAGGAAATGTTGGCATGGACATTTGGATGAAATGGATTTACTTTACACTCAAATGGACACACACACAACTACAGACACACCCTCATCCACTAAATTTTGCATTTGATTGCGCCTGTATGTATGCAACTTTATGTACCCGCAATAACATGTATGCACTCGAACTACATACATATGTACATTTATATGCAGCGATAGTTAGACTTGAATACGAAAAGGACATTCGAGTCTACTACACTATTGACCGACTGGCTGGATGACTGACGGGGAACTAACCAGTGACTGCCGGCATAATGAATGCAAATAATTGTGTTCTCATAGCAAATGGTGTAGAACGCGGTGACACGACTTTAAATCTAATTAACATGAATGTCCCATTTATTATCAATTTTATGTTAATCTAGATGTTGGTCATGATTGAGGCTGGTAAAATTGGGTCTTAGACAGCATTGAGGATTTATAAATAATATGTTGCAAATATTTAAATTTTATGATTTAATTTCAATTATAATTAAATAAATTTTTAATTAATAATTTATTTTTAAATTAATTAACTATTATATTTTGTAATATATAAAATTTAATATAGCTTCTATTTAAATTTCCACCTGATACATTATAAATCTTCCAAAGAGATGTGACTATTTTCTGGCACTCCAGGGACATTTTTCGTTAGACATACTTTCACTGACTAAGAAATGGGGACACGTGGTGAAAATTACAGACTTCTTACAAGTTTTATTTAGGTATAAAAGCTATAAGATATAAATAGCTTCTGGGGATAAGGATTCTCTGCCTTGGCCATTGGTGGAGAATGCCATACTTTCCCCTCTAAATAGTAGTTACTTTAAAAAGACAACTGTGATTACGTCAGACTATTTGGCATTAACAAAATTTCAGAGACATTGTTTTTATTCTAGCTAAGTACATGATTGATCTGATGTAGCCTAATGTGATGGGGCTGCCACCTATCGTACTCTGGAAACAACGTCTCCTTTACATTGGGTTTGATTATTAGAATGTCAAAGCCTAGGGATGCATTTCACCTGGAGGCCGTAAGCCTTTTTTTCACATAGCAAGTAGCAAAATTATGCATTTGTTTTCCAAAGCCACGAAGTCAGGCACCAAAGAATTTCTACGTGAGGTGGTATCGCTGGAATCGTAAGTACTTCCATTTGTTACAAGCGACATTTGGGTATGAAGGGTTTTTACTTACTTAGCTGGCTTGTGACACTTTCGTTCCATAAACCGAGCTTAAAATAGATTACCAGGCGCCTCGGTCTTTTGCGCAGCTCTTCCAATTTGCGCAGCTCTTCAAGACTCATGGTTCATTCGACGGCGATATTCAACAAGATCGGGCCATAGATCTTTCGGAGAATTTTTCTCTCCAACACTCTCCAACACTCGATGTCATCGGCGTGTAACATGTGTTGTTTGGTATACCGAGTGCCATTTCTGTTTACCTTTGTCTCTCGACATACTGTCAACTTGTCTGATTCCTCGTTCGGTTGGTTCTTATTGGTTCTTCTTCAACGTCACTATTTGATACCAGAAGTCTTTCAAAATGCTCCTTGCAGATCCTCAGCACGCTGTCTGTATCTGTCACCAGGTTTCCTTGTTCATCTCTTTGGTAAAATTTTCAGACTTCATTCCGACTCCTGTACATCTCGATTTGCTCTTACTTCTTTTTTCTGAAAATAGTTTCTCCTCTCTCATTTATCCCGATAATTTTCCATCGCATTACGTGTTGCTACTGTCTGCAAGGTTACCCTATACGCTGCGTTTGCCTAAGTAGCAATGCGACACTCCTGATCGTAACACGGGTTTCTTGATGGTGGTTTTGGTACCCGAGTGCTGCTTTTACTGCAGTTTGTAGGGGGTGGGGAATTCTTTGCCACTGTGCTTCTATATAATTATCGGGACAAAGAGTGGGTAAGTTCAGCGTAGTAGGCTTTTGCTACCTGTTGTACTTGCAGCTTTTCCACGTCGAGCTTCCATGTTGTTTTAGATCAAACCTTTGCTGCTATGTCTTTGGTATGTTTATTTTTGTCATTCGTCGGAGCATAGGCACAAATAAGTCTGACGTAGAAGAACTTCGCTTGAGTACTTCCACATCTACTGGAGTGAATCTGGAGACGAGGTCTTTTATTCTCCTGTTAACCATAAATCCGCAGCCAAATTTATGTATCGTTTCAGTGCAGCTATAATACAGGGCGCAATCATCTGATTTACATACGCCAGTCCATTTCCATCACATTTTCTGTAAGACAATAATATCGATTTTGTACTTCTCGAGTACATCCACCAAAAGCGAAAACTGCCCTGTACAACGTTCGCACATTCCAAGTGCAGATTCGCGGATCGTAGTCATTTATACGTTTGCGAGGTTCGTCACCAGGGGTTTGGTTTTCTTTTTCGTTGCTTTTTATAGTAGGAGAGGCTTTCTAAGTGTGAGCTACCAACCCAACTAACCCGATGAAAGGGGGTCCAAGATATGTCTGAGCTTTGCCATGTTAAAGCCAATCAGAGCCATTGATTCGGGATACCAAGCAATGACTCTGATTACTCTCTGGATCTAGGCTTAGTAAAAATGTTACGATGTGCAAAGTCTTCTTCATTATTTGGACACTCCAACCGCTTTGTTTTGAATTTATAATTTTTCAAAATTTGGACCCTATTGGTTACAGACAGATTAACATTTGAAAATCGACACTATATTATATAAAACGGATTTGGTCCAAAGACATACTCTTAAGCTAATATTTCGATAAGACACATTTCCACCGCATTAAAGTGCATATATCCCTATCTTAGTCATAAGAGTAAGGGTATGTACTCTTTTTTGAAACACCAAATTTAAGGTTAGTTTTTAAATATTCATATGTATCCTACAAATAGTTTTTCAACATATGTTTGTAATATGTAATCCTACTAGCCCTTACAAAAACATAATCATAAATTAACGCATCTTTTACCTGGATTGTTTGTGCAAAATTTAAAAACATGCCAAGATCCCAGGTATACATTTCCCTTAAATTTATCGCATTGGCTTATAAATTGACACATCACAATTACTGCAACAATCATAACGCCTTAAACACTCAACGAAATAACATCGTTCGTACGTACGCACGCACCCATCTCACATGAACATCATGAACAGCTTCATCGAAACCAATACCACCATCACCACAAATCGTTTCCTGGAACAAGTTTATAAATCTCTGACGCATGAAGTGACCTTCCCGAGCTTAAATACACATGGAATGTTGACAAATATCATGCCGACGCAGCAACAACATATCGATCAAATCGTGGAGTTCGAAATGAAACGCATTCAGGAGAATTGCCAGGGCAAGCAGGAGCAATATGTTGAACAAATGTTGGCGGAAAATCCAATTGCAATTGGAAGACGGACCAACACCACCAATACTACGACAAATAGTAGCAGTATATTGAGCGGGGAATGTGACACCTTATTATCCACGGAACAAAAACGGCAACAACATGGCCAGCGTTCAGAGGCATGTCGACGTTCTCGTTACAATAATAAAATCAAAAAGGCCAAGTCCAAATACCGCCACAAATACATGTCACAAAAACTGCTACAAAGTACACAACTGTTGACTTGTATAAAGGATTTGATTGCTCAAACGGAAGGACATTTACTTGCCCAAGGATTAGGCAATGATAAACTTCATAAATTGCGTTACAGCTATGGCATGGATTCAACAAGGAGAGAGGTCCGTGGTATTGAAATGGATACTTCAGTGAAAACAAAGGATTAACATTAGAATTAGTGGGATTACTGTTCGCACTTGAATTTTGTTATATTTTAAGAATACTTTTTGTTATTTAGTTTTAAGAAAATAAAAAACAAACCTATTAATAAAGGTAAATAATTTGGAAATTAAAATGATTTTAATTTGCGGTTCGATTGGGGATAAATGTAGCCGAAATTGTTTTTACAAAACTAGAATATGCCAAACTTCGTTGGCGGGATTCGCAATTTTCAAACCACAGTGATTTTTTAAAGGGTATGCTACACCAAGTAATATTCACTAGAGACCCATATAGTATATATATTCTTGGCCAGAATAAAATTCTATGTCGTCTGTCTGTCACTTGAAATCACGATAGAGCTTGCACTATTTTTGATACAGCTTTGGCATTTAGCACATGCACTGCTATTACTCCTAGGATGTTCTGCTTTAATTTGTTATTTTGAGCTGGCATCTTCCTATTGCAAATGTTCATTATTGGTCCATTTTTATGGTAGCTCCCGCATAACGGTACCCCTAAATTTCTGTATTATGAGAAGTATGGACACGTTTTTCAATCGAATTGGCTTAAATTGTGAATTTTTGATTATAATTGGGTAACATCACGATCACCATAAATATTAACGATACATCCCAATGTTCGGTATTGTGGGGAGTAAAGGTACGTTTTTCCACCGAATTGGCCGTAATTTCATATTTTTGGATATCTTAAAGTAAACATCATTCACCAAATTATCAATATTGGTCCACGTTTTACGATAGCCTCCATATAACGGTTCCTCCCAAATTTCGATATTTTTGGAAGTGTTGGCTAATTTTTTAAAAGAATTGTAATTTGGTATTTTCAATTTACATTGACTCAAATCATCAATATTGGTATACTTTTACGATAACGGTACCGGCTATTTAGATTCTGCTACATAACTATGCAGAAAATTATCAATACAGATCAAGGTTTTGACCCCATATAAAGGTCCCACTCAATTTTTTGTATATTGAAGATTTTAGCCAGCCACATTCTCCAATTAGCCTATAGGGCTTACATGGGCTGACAGATCCATATTTTGGCATACTTCTACATAAGAGTCTCGCCCAATTTCCAGATAAAGGTATCGCCCGGAAGGTGTAAGTTGCATTTGCATACCGAAATGGCTGTAATAAAATCAAATATTAGGTTGGGGAAAAATCAATTAGACCGGTCGTCGAAAATGTCGATAAAATCGTAACATCGCCCAGGGGCCAAAAATCGACCATAAAACTGTTTCAACCAGTTACACAAAGCTGATTTCAAAAAGAACCTCGCTGGTTTGGGTGTCACATCAATTAACAGAAACAAATGGAATGGATCAAATTTCCATCTGGTAAGCCTTGGCCAAACGGAATGAGATAGACGGCTTGTGACTGGAGATGAGAAATGGATCACATACGATAACCCTGTGCTAAAGCGGTCGTGGTCATAGAGCGGTGAATAACCTGAAACGGTGGCCAAACCAAGACTAACGGCTAAGAAGGATCTGCAATGCATTTGGTGGGACTGGAAGGGGATTATTTATCTTGAGTTGATTCCATATGGCCAAACGCTAAATTTTGATCTCTACTGTCAACAACTGGACCGTTTGAAGATAGCAATTGACCACACATGGCCAGAATTGACCAACAGGAGAGGTGTCGTGTTCCAACAGGACAACGCTAGGCCACACGCATCAACAGTGACACGCCAGAAACTTCGGGAGCTTGGTTGGGAAGTTTTAATGCATCCGCCATACAGAACAGAACTACGCACCAATCGATTATTATATTTAGTTCATATAAAAATAATGTTTTTTTTCCAACCTAATATAAAAATATCATTACACCCTACACAATTTTGTTGTCAGGGTATTATAGTTTTGTGCAGACCTGTCTGCCTGTCTGTCCATTCTAAATGTTAAACACAATACGGGCCACAATTCTGGACCAATCTTCTCGTCTTGGCCAATGAAGACCCTTATTGTTTTTTTTTTTTTTTTGGTAAAGATCGGTTTAGGGGATGAAATGGATCAAACACATAATTTTGGTAGGTTTTTCCGGTCGCTACGAATTTACATGGAGAAGGGTATAATTTACGGCGATGTTGAGGTGATATTTAGGAGGTGCAATGAACCAATTTTTTAGCCACTCGAGAGCCCACTATTCTATGCCGAAAATATATATTATATGTATATATATATATATATTTAGAATGGCTGCTTTGATAATGATCGACCAATATTTAGCGGGTCAAATTAACCAAAACCTAATGTGAACAAATATTTATTTTATGACATAAATATTCCCTCGGGAAAACAAGATTTGGAAAGTATGCACGGGGTTAAAAAGTAGAGTGTTGAAATATTGCTAGGATCAGAATATAGAACATCAAAAAGTTAGTGGTAGTTGTGTAGGGTATCATATGGTCGACCCCGGTTATATGTCTATATTTTGACATAGTCGCCATACAAAATCCCACCCCATTTTTGGGCATTTTTAAGGTTTAGGTATTTACGGTATTTGGTTTTCGGAGGCTGATAAGTTCATATTTTGGCATATCCCCCACATTTTTTGAATTGCTAAGCCGAATTTTTGAAAATTTGCGCAGAGATAGTTATATTTTGGTCTGTAATATGTTGTTTTATTTTCTCAGGACATATATAAAAAACATGGCCAAACTGAAACACGTTTTTATTTGTTAAAAAAATAAGTGAAGCTGTCAAGAACATACGACAGTCACTCTGCGATTTTGGTTATTCACAATTTCGTACTGGAAGCTTGATAATTTCCTCTTCATTGTGAAATAAACAATTTATCGATTTCAGTTTTTTTAGATAGAGTCACCGTTGACCCTACCATAACGTTGCTTGCGAAAAAATGCAAATTGAGACCAGATATTTAACAGAAGAAATCTTAGCAGGGTCCATGTAGCAAATACTCAACCTAATTTTCGAAGCACTTCGATTGAGGTACCTTCAAAAATGTGGTTTCTAAACGCTTTTACAGCATCTTCTGGGAACGATAATTGTTGGGTCTTAAGAAGCTGTTGCGGTTGCATTTTTATTTGACCCCTCGGTTTGCCATTTGGAGACTTATGTATGTTTTCTGCTAAATACATAATATAAAATCTTACATTTTATTTCAAGAAATAAATATTACAAATACCTTATCATAAAACGTATCCTTAAAATTTTGACAATAAAAAATGTCTCTTTTTTTCGTAATCTGATACTGAATGCAAATGAGTATTTTCAAGCCCTACAGTAGTAGCTTATGACAAATGCGTTCCAGCAGCGACAGTTCTTTTTTATTTAAACTTTCTGTTGATATAAACCAAAAAATGCTGACATATCTCTGTGGCGTGTCATTGCCGCGGGCAATCAGGTGTGTGCGTGAGAGTGACATTTCTTATACAAAATAAATAAAAGGATGGTTGGATGTGCGTTTTCTCCACCGTTTGAAATGGGATTTTACTCCTCACCATTTGCTACTATCTGCGACTTTGAAACGTGCAACATGTCTTCACACAAATACGTCGAGCTGTCATTGTGTTGTACTTCGAGTATTGATCAATGTTCTGCACATTTAAATGCATTTGGAATTCCCAAAGTGTTTCAAACTTGGCGGAAATAAATCTGCCACGAAAGATTTCTTACAAATGTAATGCAGGAAAAATGTTGTGGATTTTATTATTCTAACTGGAAAATGATTTGTGAGTTAAGATATGTCTGGAGGTTTTATATTTTTTGTATGAGGCTTTGTATTAAGGAAATAATCTCTTTGTTTATGAGAGGTACTATTTTAGGAAAGCTAAAAAATGCATAGGTATGGTCAAGGCCATATTTTTTTCATAATCCCTTTGGTTTTTGCAAAGACAATCTTTAGTCTTTCGGTGAACATTTTCAATTTTTATTGACCCTACAGGTAGAAATTAGTAGAGCAATTAATCCTAATTAATAGTGGGTTTCACAACTAATATTTTGCAATTGTGTACTTGCGCACGTTCCCATTTTTATGGCGTATTCTTATGTAGACAGGTAGTTCTTTGGATTACCACTTAATATAGTTCCGGACTATATGATATAACGAAGAAATTTATATTTTTATTTATATATGGTATTTTATATATTTTTATATTTATTGTTTTGAAATAATAAAGCCGGAACTTCGAAAGTTTTTAAATAAAAAATTATATTAGCCGGATTTTTAGACATTCGAAAACATAAATATTTCTAGTCGATTTATTTTGCATTACGCCATCTAAAAAATCCATTGGCAAGTTTAATTTTAAATTTCATTTTAGTACGCGGTCAATGAACGGGAAAATATAGATTGAATCTAAAACTAGTTGAGCAAGAGGAAAAAGGAACGACTGGAGCAAAAGAAAAGTTGAATAAAGAACCGGACCTAGTACCGATGTTTTCTTTTGGACAATAGTTCCTTTGGTTGTTCCGGAAAGTCCTAACAATACGTGCGACTTCATCGCCTTACTAAAAGACGGCGGACGTTTAAAACCCAGTTTTGTGACATAGAACGTGTGGGCTATCTCCACACAGCGAAAAGTGCTCAACGGTGCTATTCTCTACACACTCTCCTATCTAAGAATGCGAAACCACACCTAGCCATGAAAACATCAATCATAGATCAACCTACAAGTGTGAGATCTATAGGTACAACCTTGGACAAGAGGATAGTATTTTCATTTTCCAGAGGAGGGGATGATAGATATCAAGCAGCGGCTCTAATTGGCTTTAACATGGCGAAGCCCATGTTTATCTTGGTCCCTCTTTCATCTCAATTGTGGACACTGACCTCCCCGCAGGGTCACCTGGGGTAACCATTATCATCACCCGTTGAAATAGAGAACTGATACGAGCCGCGAGTTCACCCATAAGAACTATAAAAAATGAGATGAGGCTTCGGCTAGTTGCCGACAATTAATACTATGAAAAAGCAACGAAAAAGAAAACCAAACCTCCCTAATGTTGACGCAAACGAATAAAGGACCACGATCTGCGAATGTGCACTTGGAATGTGCGCACGTTGTACAGAACTGGCGTAGTTTTCGCTTTGGCGGATGTACTCAAGAAGTACAAAGCCGAAATTATTGCCTTACAGGAATTGCGAAGGAAAGAGACTGGCGTAAGTAAATCAGATGATTACGCCCTGTATGATAGATGCCATGAAAAGAGACATGAATTTGGCTGCGGATTTATGGTTAACAGGAGAATAAAAGAGCACGTTTCCAGATTCATTTCAGGAGATGAACGAATTGCTACTAAAGCGAAGTTCTTCTACATCAGTCTCATTTGCGCCCATACTCCGGAAGAAAAATATCTTTGGCCCCACCGTCAGCCTTGATGAAGAAACATCAGACAACGGCATGAAATTGACAACAACAGCAAAAACATGGTAGTTAGCAGCACCAGATTCAAGAATCTCGATATCACAAGGCCACTTGGATTTCTCCCGATCGAACAACGAGAAATCAAATCGATCATGTTGTGATTGACGGAATGCATTCATCCAGTGTTTTTGACGTTCGATCGATCCGAGGAGCGAATATCGATTCGGACCATTACCTTGTGGCAGCCAAGGTTCGCACCCGTCTTAATGTAGCAGCATAGGTGCGATCTAATATAACACGAAACTCGACGTCTAAAAGCTGCAAACACAACAGATAGCAGAAGCCTACTCCGCACAACTTACCCGACTGCTTAACGAAAGCTCTCCCTGTCCCGATAATTATATAGAAGCACAATGGCAGAGAACAGCCCACTCCCTACAAACTGCAGCAAAAGCAACACTTGGGTACCAAAGACCACCATCAAGAAATCCGTGGTACGATCAGGAGTGTCATAATGCTACGGATATTAAAAACGCAGAGTAACCCTGCGGACAGTAGCAACTCGTAATGCGATGGAAAACTATCGTGAGAAAAGGAGAGAAGAGAAACGTATTTTCAGAATAAAGAAGAAAGAGCAAGAAAAACGTGAGCTTGAGCAAATCGAGTGTACAGGAGTCAGAATAAAGTCCGCAAATTTTACCAACGAGTAAAACACCAAACCGAAGGCTTTGGTGCAGACACATCCTCTTTTAGAGATGAAGAAAGAAACCTGGTGGCATATATAGACAGCGTGTTTAGGATCTGGAAGGATCATTTTGAAAAACTTCTGGTATCAAATAGTAGCAGTGAAGAGGATACTCCAGAACCAATAATAGATGACGGTGTAGAATGTATACCACCTAGCCAAGATGAGATCAGAATAGCAATCAATCGGCTGGAGAATAATAAAGCAGCAGGTGAAGATGGCTTACAAGCCGAACTATTCAAGACTGGTGGTCAGATGCTGGTAAAAACCATGCACCTGCTGATTAGTACAATTTGGCGAGAGAAATGAATGCCCAATGATTGGAACCTCAGCATCCTGTGTCCCGTGCACAAATAAGGAGACAAGACAATATGTGCCAACTAAAGAGAAATAAGTCTCCTTCCCATCGCATATAAAGTGATATCCAGCGTGCGGTGTGAACGTCTGAAGTCAATGGTCAATGACATTATTGAACCATAACCATTCGGCTTCAGACCTGGAATTGACCAGATTTTCAATCTGCGCCAAATCCTGGAAAAGACCCACGAAAAACACATCGACACATACCATATCCGTTCAGAGGTATTTAAAGCCATGTCTACGTTCGACATTCCTGCAAAATTAATACGGCTATGCAGGATAACTTTAAGTGGCACAAAGTCAGCAGTTAAAGTCGGAAAGGACCTATCGGAGCCCTTCAATACCGAACGAGGATTCAGACAAGGTGACAGTTTGTCGTGTAATATTTTAAACATCCTGCTGGAAAAGGTCATACGAGAGGCAAAGGTGAACAGAAATGACACTCGTTACACCAAACAGCACATGTTAATCGCCTACGCCGATGACATCGACATAATGGCTCGACCATTGCGAGCAGTTACAGTAACATTTGCAAGAATTGAGAAATAGTCGGCCGAAGTAGGACCGACGATAAATGGCGAGTAGACCAATCTGATGGTATCAACGCGCAAGACGTCCAATAGACTTGGACCAAATGTGGATTTTGAGAACTACAGTTTTGAGGTAGTCAGCTCAAAAGGCATATAAAAGCGAACCAGCTGATGGTTCACGCAGAAGGGGTAGGCCACGAATTAGATGGAAAGATCAAGTGTAAGATAACATTGCCGAAAATGGTCTTTCAAATTGGAAGAGCTGCGCAAAAGACCGACTCACCTGGATATCTTTTTTTATACCCTTCACCACACTGTGGCCCAGGGTATTATGTCCTTGTGCCTATGTTTGTAACAGCCAAAATAAGTCGAGATAGACACATGGTTCCTTTTGATAATGTGCATAGAATCACTTTCTATGTCGATTTATGCATGTCCGTCCGTCTGTCCATGTATTTTTGTGAACAAGGTGCAGGTTGCATTTATGATACGATTAAGATGAAATTTGGCACATATCACTTACTTGGCTCAGGGACGAACCCTATTGAAATTGGAGAAAATCGGTTCAGATTTACATATAGCTCCCATATATAGTTTAGTTCGATTTTATGTAAATGGTGCACCAACTCCAAATATTGGTCCGATTTAGACAACATTTTTTTTTTTTTTGTTGCACAGAGTACTGAATTAGGTCTAGGTTGATGTATTCAAAATTTTGTGGGAATCGGTTCAGATTTAGATATAGATCCCATATATAGCTTCCATATATATTTCCATCCGATTTCATCAACATGATGTACCAAATGATTAAAGTTCGTCCGCTTAGAAAAACGTGTATTGGTATGTGTATGGGTTGTTTTAGTTTAGTCCAAATATCTATGTACTTCACGCAGTTAATTTCGTCCGATTCCATTTCAATGGTCCCCCATAGATGCTATGTCTATTCTACCTAAAGGAAAATGAACATATGAGCATCTCTTGTATGTACTCAAAATGGTGAATGGTATCATATAGTCGGCCCGCCCTACTTTTGATCTTTGCTTAATGGTTTGTATGCTTATAAATTTGTCAATAAATTGTATATTTGATTCGTCAGGAATAATTACCATAAATATATATTGATATTCTTTACACGTTAATAAAACAGAATCCCTAAGTTTATGCAGCGGAATTTGTCCTTTTTGATTCTTTATGTAGTAGTCAAGGGCTTCCATTCCAAGTGATATTAAATAAAAATACAATAAAATTATATTTTCAATATTTGTTCTCTTTTATTTACATTCAATGTTTTACATATCACAACTAAACAAATATAACTTAAAAACTAATTGAACAACAATTATCAATTAACGACTAAAAAACACAGAAATGCCTTCAAATTCATGGTTCCGTTTTCATTGGGTAGTCCAGTTTGTTGACGTCATCGACTAGACTCCTTGCCATATCCATGCCATAACTCGAACGCAATTGATGAAGTTTCGCTTTGTTTAGTCCTTGGGCGAGTAAATGACTTTCCGCCTCGGCAATCAAATCCTGAATACAATTCAACATTTGAGTGCTCTGAAGTAGTCTCTGCGAAATGAATTTGTGGCGATATTTCGATTTGGCTTTTTTCACTTTGTTGTTGTAACGGGAACGACGGCAGGCATCGGCACGTTGCTGTTGCAGACGTTGTTGTTCCTCAGATAATGAGCTGTCCGATGTCTTTCTCAGCACGGTGACGTTGTTTCGTCTCTCGAATGTAATTGGATTTTCGACCAACATTTGCTCAACATACTGTTGCTCCTTACGGGCGATATTCTCCTGAATTCGTTTCATTTCCATTGCGACCATTTGATCGATGTTTTGTGGATTTAGTTGTGCTGTTGTTGTTCCTACTGCTGTTAATGCCATCGATGTTGTATTCAAACTTTTCAATGACAATTCTTGGGTCAGCGATGTGTAGAGGGGATCCAAGAAGAGGTTGGTAGAGTTGTTGAGGTTGTAATGCTCCATTTTTGTATTTTCAATAGCAATTTCAGAGATGTTTTCACTTTGACAACTACGAGTGTAATGATTGTCGCTAATTGTCTGGTTTTCCTATTTATAGGGACAATCCTGACATGGGTGGTGCGTGTGTGTTTGGGTGTATGTACCTGACCATTTCCTGTTGTTAAAAACAAATTTGCACAAACTCTATCCGCCGCCCGTCATCAGGTATTGCAATTATTTTATGACATTGTTTTTTACAATAATTTCATATTTATGACATTATTTGTGTGTCTTATTGTCGTGTCTGCGTCTACAACGATTTCCTATTTTACCTACTTGGTATTTTCATACATAAGAATTTTGGGTTTTTCCAATTGCCAATATACAATTTGAATTATTTTTCTTGTCTAAAATATCAACAAATAAATTCAAGGTCAATACATAATCGGGATTTTCATTAGGTAATTTTATAGAGTGGTTAGTTTGGTAATGCAAAATAAGTACAAACGGCATTAGGTTCGACCGAGGCGAACTTGTTATCCCTTTGCATTCAAAATTTCTTATTAAAGGCTATGTCAAAACGTCTTTTGCTGAAATGCCAAATTACAGCCCCTTCGATGGAAAATTTGGCTAAAACATTGAAGAGCGGAGACATATATGATGGCTATGCCAAAACATGAACCTATATCGAAATAGTTGTGCAAAATTGTTTCTAACCCTCCAAGAACAAGAAATGCCAAATAATATCCACTTCAGTGACGAAATGCGGCCAAAAACATGGACCTATAGTGATAATTTTCTGTGTAGGTGGTGTTTGCTTCCAATAAATCTAAATTAGAATTACAATTATTTTGGTTTGCTAATACCGTAAAAGTTCCTAGAAAAATTGTGCGGTACCGTTTTAATCTATTTGCAATATGTGTGTACAAAAAAGTTTTTTTCTTGTGTGTGGAAATATAAAGAAGAAGTCATTGGGTCACGGAAATATGGGGATGACCCACAAATTGCAGCTCGCATTGTCCGGAGGCACTATAATACGTTTTTTATTATTTGTTTTTTCAACTTCCCCAAAGTCTTAGGGATAGCCGTATGTTGTTGAATCACTCAAAATTAACTGGAGCAGTCGCCACAGAGGCAGTTTGACAAAAAACAGACGACAATTTGCTTCTTTGCATTTGGCATATAAACGCGATTCTTCGCCTTTACAAACTTAATAAACTTTTTTGAAGCAACGGGATCGAATTTTTCAAAATTTAATTTCCACTACTCGGCACTATATCGGCTTCGTCATTGCAGGACATCCGATAGGTGCTCTACTGGGTTCAGATTAAGGGGCTGTGGAGGCGTTCTAAGCTGTTTAGAGATATTATAGAGTACCGAAGAACTAACGTTTTTAACAGTGATAATGTAGTCATTATTTTTTTGGAAGTATTTATCGGTGTTCCGCATCAAATTTGATTTTATCAATCTTATTCTAAAATTAATTTAAATTTTCTCACGCCACGTACAGTATGCAAAATGCATATTCATACACCCATGATAAACTTAAGTATTTTAAAAAAATTCCACATTTATGATATTTATTTTTAATAAAAAAACGACGACTGTGGTATTCAAATATATCAAATTCAGTACAACTTTAACGAAAAAGTTCAGGAAATTCGATAAAGGCGAACAACGAAAAATTGTAGTAGATCTGCACATAGATGAAAACTCTTTGCAGGAGACTGCAAAAATAATGATCACAATATGTAGTATCCAGCAACAAAAAAGGGACCTAATTAAACAACTAAAAACGAGAATATGAGAATAACAATCATTATATCTGAAAGTAATGAAAGATCCTTGGTGAAAATTCATGTTATAATAGGACCTTGAACATACTGAAAAATACTTGAAATCATATTACATGTTAAACAGTGCGAATAAATATCCGACAAATTGGAATAAAAGTCGGAGTGGTGTGAAACGGTGTTAATAAGCAAAAACGGATTGTTTTTTCCAAAAAGTACCAAAGTAAGGACTACAACTTCTGGAAGGATGAGTCTTAATTCAATATAAAAATATGGGATGGATGCTAAAAAATTTAGCAGGACAACCATACGGGCTTATTTCGTTATAATCACATTCCGGCTCAGCGAAACAAAAAACCAGTAAGGAAAGTAGTAAAGTCGGACGGGGCCGACTATATGATACCCTTCACCACTTTGGGTCCATTCAACAGATGAATCCTAACAGACGTCGCATTCATTTGATCAGATAAAAAAGCTATATCTAAATCTGAACCGATTTCAGGAAGTTTAACATACATCATTCTAGACCTAATTCATTACGTTTTGCAAACCGAAAGATGTTAAGGGACTTTGGTACCCATTTACCTTAAATTGGACGAAAATACATATGGGAACTATATCTAAATCTGAACCGATTTTCACGCTGTGCCAAATTTCGTGCAAATCGAAAGATATGTAGGGACTTTGGTGCACCATTTACATTTAATAGGACGAAAATATATGTGGGAGCTATATCTAAATCTGAATCGATTTTCAGGAAACTTAACACACATTATTCTAGACCTAATGACATATAGGGACATTTACATAAAATCGGACGAAACTATATATGGGAGCTATATCTAAATCTGAACCGATTTTCATGAAACTCAGCACACATCATTCTAGGCCTAATTCATTACGCTGTGCCAAATTTCGTGCAAATATATATAGGGACTTTGGTGCACTATTTACATTAAATCGGACGAATATATATATATATATATATATATGGAAGCTATATCTAAATCTGAACCTATTTTTCTCAATTTCAATAGGGTTCGTCCTTGGGCCAAATAAGTGACATATGCCAAATTTCATCCAAATCGGATCATAAATGCGACCTGTACTTTGTTCACAAAAATACATGGACGGACATGCGTAAATCGACTCAGAAATTGATTCTATGCATATTCTCAAAAGGAACCATGTGTCTATCTCGTTTCCTTTTGCCTGTTACAAACATATGCACAAAGACATAATACCCTGTACCACAGTGTGGTGAAGGGTATAAAAAACATTAACTTTTATCTTTCAACAGGACAATGACCTCAAATATACTGCATACAAAACACACCTTTATAGATCTAATCCCACTTAGAATCCCACTTGTGGTCAATTAAGGAGAAAAAAGTCATTATAGCATCAGGACCTGAAAATAACTTAAAACGGAATGGGATCAAATATCACCCAGTTAACCTACAAATCAGTCGAATGCATGACTAGGCGTCTAAGTGCGGCAATAAATTTATCATTTTTCTATCTTTTTTTTTACATCTATAATATGGAAACTCCGCCATCTAGCGGCGGAATTTTAAATTTGATATACATAAGTTTATTTTTCTTACATAAAAATAATAAATGTAAATATAACATTTTGAAAATTCTGCTTATTGGATTGAACACTTTGTAGGCGAGACTGGGGCACCTTCGGCACTTTTTGTTTAGGGCTCTATATCTCAGTATTTATTCAACAGATATAAAATCTTTATGCTTGATTAGTGTCGTCTGATACTTACTTATAAAAACTAGAACCAAAAACATATAATAAATTAGTATTAGTTAAACATTTTTACACTTTTGTAAAAATGGTCAAATTCGCCGAATGTGCTCCTACCCGGAGTAGCTTCGGCATTTGATGGGGCACATTCGGCACCATAGTCATAGTCTGGTAATTATCATTGCTATCAGTCTGATTGGAATTCAGATCCTCTAAAGGTTCTATTTTGTTTTAATACGCGACTCAATGTTTGACTTTTAAGGTTATATTTATATACACCATCAGAAATAGCATTTTTCTATTGCATTTTCGTCAATACAAGCACCTTTGGTTTTATATATGTAATTTCGAACCATACTAAAAAATTATTTTTAAAGACAAACTCAAAAACATTTTAATGAAATAATATTGCACTATCTGTATATGACCGAATGTACCCCACTTCATAATGCCGAATCTTCCCCGGAGGTACTTTTTATAGTTTTTTTTTTCATTTTTTTATAAATCTTCTCAAAACAGTATATTTTTAATTATTTTTTATAAGAATACAATTGTAATTAACTACTTTTTAATAATACTGCCTTAAAAATTTTAAAGTTTTATAGACGAAATACTTACGAAATGGAATGAAAATATTACCAAAACATCTGTAAAAATACAAAAACTCGTGTATCTAAATAAGCTTATTAGCTAGAAATTTCAAATTTTGCGAAAGTTATTTTTTCGATATTCGATACCTATGTATCGAAGCTATTGATGTACGGTGAGAGATTCATATCGAAACGCGATTGCCGAAGGTGCCCCAGTCTTCCCTACTAATTTACAAAACTTTCTATATACACCTAAGTCTGTTTTTACACGGTAGATTGGTTCCAGAAGAATACAGAATACATTGATCTTATACATAAAGGAAATTCCCCTAAATTAGTGCTATTCACATTTGCTTTGACCAGTAAAAATTGTTTGTACGCGCTAAAGGGGAATTCACTTAAATCGTTAAGCTAGTGTTCGCAAACTATCGATACTATCAATGGTTTCAGACTTTATTCTTTCATAAATAATTTTTTGTGATATGAACATACTTCGCAAAAATTAAATTTGACAAAAAAAGTACAAAAAATTTCAAATCGTGCTAAATGGAATAAAATCGTCTAAAAAACTTAAAAATATTAAATTTTCAAACCGTGTACAAAAAGACTGTGTAAAAACAGACTTAGGTGTATACCAATCCTACAATCGGTTCACCCAAATTCACATTTGGTACCATCCAGTACAAATTTCCAAAACTTTCTACATTGGTTCACTCAAAAGTAAAATTGTACCAAATTTAGTTAACATTAGTAGGAATTTCCAAAACTTTCTAAAAAGCTCATTTCAACCGCCCAACAATGATTCAAATGTCAAGATTCCAGCTCAATCGGTTCACCGAAATCCAAATTTTGGTACAATGTAGTACATATTAGTACGAATTT